TTGTCGTTACCAAATCAATTGTCGGAGTAAGTCCGCTGGAGTTGCTCTGTTTGTTACTTTAACTTGTGCATGGGGTCATGAGTGGGTGCATTATTTTCTAATGGCATGTATTGAATATTATGGATTGGTTTACATCAGTCCATAATTTCAGCAGCTACTTGGAAATTCAATATATATCTGATCTAATGTCGAAGTCAAGTTACGCAACTGGGTAGTGGCATCATGCATTCTATTTAGAATCGTTGACTAGACTTGATTGTGGATGATAGGGTTGACTTCACAACATGTGAGTATTATTCCAACTTGCTTTATCTTATTATGTATGGACAGCAGGAAAATAATACAGCTCACAATAATATTGCAAACACAAAATAATTGAATGTGGATAGATGCGTGCATGGAAATTAAAGTAATTCAAAGTATGCATACGCCAATATGGATCGGAAGACCATAATATAATGGATAGAGATCGAGTTTTCTAGACAGGAACGATGAAAAGCGATTTGGCCTGGGGTTCAAACTCGTAATGAATAAAGAGTTTGCATATTATCAGTTTATGAATGTCATTACTAGCTACTTTCTCATGCATAACCTTTAATTTAGTTGTTCGCTCATTAATCTTAAGTAAATGTAAATCAATTTGTAAGTGTGTGGCTACTTTTGTTTAACTAAGATATCATTGGGAGGTAACTATCATGTGCTTGAATTAGTATTTGAAATTTCTTATATTTATTAATGTCTTTTTTTTTTTTTGAACATTATAAATAAGTCTTATTTACCTCCCGCTGTTCCACCTAAAAGAGGGTGTCTACAACTCAGCGGAGGGATTAGTCAGTGTGTTTGACGGTGAAAACTCGGGTACACTAAAAAAAAAAAGTATTATTTCTATACATTAAGATTAAATCTTAACGCATACATTTTATAAGTGAAAATATTATTATAGTGAAATAATGTTTCATGGGAATAATTTCACTTAAACGTGTATATTAAATTAATTCGGTAGAACAATATAATTAAAATGAAAAATATGTAATCATTGTGAAAATGAATTCCAACGACTATGTCAAGGCCATGATGTGGGCCAGTTGAACATTGAGCATAAATTCACAAGATATCTTACATTAACAAAATTTTAGGTTAAAGTGTTAAACTAATGATGAGATCAACTAACCGTTATATTGTAGGTTTTTAAATTAAATAAATCACTAAATATGAATTTTAAACATTGTCTTATTGTTTATTTGTTTGTGCTGTTTGACACTGACAACATTTGTCATTTTCCTAGGTTCAAAATTCTTAGCTACTCAGGTATCAGTGCATGTATAGATTTATATTCAAGGTATATATAGTCTTAGTATGGATTATCTTATAATATGTGAATTATTATATATGAGTGATATTTAATTTATTTCATATTACTTTTGACCCTTTTTATATTAAAATACTAAAAATCTTCCGAAAAAAAAATGGTAAATAAAAAATAAAATTACTGATAAATAAAACTTGACTGAGAGAAATAAAAAATAAAAAAAGGGAAAATGGCACTTTTTACACCTAAATTATATACTTATAGCACTTTTTCTCCTCAATTATTTAGGTAAGCACATTAGCCACCTCAATTATTCTAAAAGTGGTGCTTTTTCCCCCTGATATATTAAATTGACATTTATACCTTAAAGTAAACATTTTATTTATTTTACTACTCCAACAAATTATTACGTATACGTAGGGATGACCACGTACGGTTCGGTTTGAATTGAACCGGATACTAAAGCAAGCGAATTAATAGTTTCCGGTTATAATTCAGATCTAGAACCCAATATTTAAATGTCAATTTATTAAAATTATGTATCAAAAAAATTGAATCTTGAACCGTGAACCGGCGGTTCCGGATCCGATTCGCGATTTTAAATCGTCTTTATTTTAAAATTTTATTTTTTATTTTTTATTTTTTATTTTTTATTTTAAGATAGTATAAATTCAACAATAAATGTATTTTATTTTTTCAGTTCGGAACATGAACCGTCCGTTCCGGTTCACGGTTTTAATAAACTCTAAATATCAAATTTCGATTCTAAATTGTAATTGGAATATTTCGGTTTGGTTGCTATAGTGTTTGTTTGGTTTGAACCAAATTATGGTCATAATTTCTTGGAGAAAAAAAATAAATTATATATTTAGTTTAAGGGTAAATATGTCCATTTAACATTTCAGGGGAAAAAACAGCCACTTCAATAGGGGAAAAAAATGCTATAGGTATATAACTCAGGGGGGAAAAGTGTCATTTTCCCATAAAAAAATTACTGTACTTGATGGAGTAAAAAAGTTGTAGACGAGAGAGCAAAGCAAAGGGAGGTCTGGTTCATACGAAGTTGGAGCATTACTGATTCACTGAATTCTGATCACTCGAATCTTGTCGGGCCCTACTGGACCCCACCATGCTACTTTCCGACTTTACCCACCCCAACTCCCCAACGTTTAGGTGTCTTTGGAAGTTGCAATATTGTTTATACTTCCTTTTCTGGCTAATACTTTTCTTTTTTAGTTTTTTATTTTCTTACCTTTAATATCTACATCCAAAGTACTTAAGTACTCCTATTGTCCAACATTTAAAAAAAATACATTCATTTTTAAACGATTGAATTTACTTTTAAAAATCTAAAAAATATTCAAAATAAAACACTTTAATTTAAACCTGTTTACTTTTTTTTTAAAACGTTATTTTATAATTTTTAAATTGAACTTTTTGTACTTAATACAAATTTTATGTAACTTTTTCTAATATATAAAAATTTCTCATTAATAATAAACTAAATATGTATTGTTAATAATTTACGTTAAATATTCTGTGATCCAAACACCTCTTATTATCACATGATCCTAATTAGTTTAAATTTGAAAGCTGATAATAGTAGGGGAGGATTTGATAGGTATTTCAAATTCTCACTCATTAATGGTTTTTGAAACTTTTTGATGGCGATAAGGATGACGCCCCACAATATTAAAAGTGCCACGGGAGAATTTTCCAAATTGGAATTATTGAATAATTGACCGTTGACATGCTTTTAGAAGCCCTTTTATTAGTCTTTTCTTTTATACAGTGGAAAATAAGATGGAGTTTGATTTACATACTATAATTAATTCAACATTGTAATTAAATGTTTAATAATTAAAATAAATTTTATTAAAAGTGGCGTGTTTGGTTCATAAGTTTACACACTAGAAATGTAAATCAAAGTTGTAGTTAGTGTTTAGTTGACAACTTTTTAAAATACAACTATAAGATTTGATTACTCATCCAATTAAAAACTCAATATTCCTAATTAAAAAGCTATCATTCCATTTTATTGGTAATATGATTTTTAAGTTTGAATTAGCACTTTAGATTTTTGTTTTGATTTTTTTGTTCATATTGGTGCTTTAAAAATTTGGATGTCTTATATTATGATCAATTGCCTTATTTTTTATTTTATTTTTTATTTTTAAAACCTTTATTCCCATTATAGGTTCATAAATAACTAAACATTTGGTAATAATTCTAATTTCAGCCTACTACCAAACATGCAAAATACTATCATCAAAACACATACTATTACCAAGTATTTGATCCACATTCTGATTTCGTTTCCATGTGCAAACCAAATACACCTTAAAATTAAGTTGATTTAAATTTTATATTCAATACATTAAAAAAAAAATTATTCATCAGAATAAAGTCCAATAATTTGGTACAAAAATGTCCCATAATATAATATATTTTAAAAATCTATATTTTTGGTGGATGTTGTGGTCATCTTGACGAAGAGCAACAAATAAAATAAAGTCGCAGGCCGGGAACGTACCTATTTAACTATATGGGTTATTCCTATCCAAACTTGGATAACTAAAAATTTTAAGTAAATTAAAAATAAAATAAAAAAGTTGCTGATTCAACTATTGATAAGAATCCCAATAAAATGTTTTTTTTTTTTAATTGCACATAAAAATAAATTGATTGCTTCATCGATTTTTGACAACCTAACCAAACCTACCAAATTGCAAGAAACATGGAGGCATCAGTTTCAAACTGGTGAAGTACTAATCGTCGCATTTATTTTATATTATATAAACATAGTTTACTATAAGGTAAACGTTAATACGTATTTAGTATGTTAGGTTTAATAATGTTTAGATCCCAACTGCTACTAGTAAACAAGGCATTTTCAGTTTCCTGGACAACAGCCCAACTTCCTCCTCACAACTTGTGATAAGAAAGAAATGGTTAATGGCTGACGTGTGTGTTTCGTAGATGAGTGGCGTCCTAATTTGACCGGTCGATGTATAAATTCTTACCATGAATATCTATTTCAATTTGAAGTTATCTTGAGCCGGATAATTTAAATAGTTGACTAATCTATGATTAATTTTGTTCTGGATAAAATAGAATTTAGACCTCAATAGAAACGTGTAAAGTTATTAAAGGAACTGAAACTTTGATCAACCAGTAATGATAGTAAAATATATATTTGGAAATTCTACTATTGTAATTTTATTACAATAAAATAAGATGTGATACATTGGCCAGCCTAATAAATTTGCAAAATTAGAAAGGAATGCCTAAAAGTCAAACTGCCGCAAGTAATTATTCATGACGAGTTATACTGTAGTCCTATAACCATTGTATTAAGCATTTTGACAGCTACAAGAAATATATCTATAAAAATATGAAAAATAAATCATTTTGACAGCTAACAAGAAATATATATATCTATAAAAGTAGGAAATAAATAAATAAATAAATGGACAGCTATGTTTAGGTAGGATACGTACTCTTGCACCCGTTGCAAAGATGGTTATTATAACATTATTACTCTAACTTTTCCATATCAATTAAAATAATTAATTACTTTTATATTATTTACAAGAATAAAAAAAAAGTCGCAGTCCGGGGGCAATGTGAAACCTATGGTTTCCGGGGAAAATAATCCGACATTGGGGTTATAAAACTACCCATTCCTCAACCAATACCATCTCTCTATTCTTTACTTCTTCTCTGCACTTTGCAGTCTCTTCCATTTTCTCTCTCTCTCTTTGTTCTTTCTCAAGTTTCAGAAACCCCAACACTTTCTGGGAAAACTCTGCTGCTTATTAGAAAAAGAAAAAGATGGCTGGAGGAGGAATCGGCCCCGGTCCCGGTAATGGCAAGGAATACCCCGGCAACCTCACTCTATATGTGACTGTAACTTGTATTGTGGCAGCCATGGGAGGGCTGATTTTCGGTTATGATATTGGTATTTCGGGTACGTTTTAGTTTGCTCCAATAAAGCTGTAATCTTTGGTTGTGTATGTTTATGGGGTTGAATGTTTTGTTAATGTTGTTTGTTTGTTGTTGATGAAATAGGGGGTGTGACATCCATGGACTCATTCTTGGAAAGGTTCTTTCCGAAGGTTTTTAGAAAGAAGAACGCAGATAAAGATGTGAATCAGTACTGCAAGTTTGACAGTCAAACTTTGACTATGTTCACCTCCTCCCTCTACTTGGCGGCTCTGGTTTCTTCCCTGGTTGCGTCTTGGGTCACCAGAAAACTAGGTCGGAGACTTTCCATGTTGTTCGGAGGTGTTCTCTTCTGCGCCGGAGCTCTCATCAACGGCTTTGCTCAGAATGTCGGGATGTTGATCATCGGCCGTATTTTGCTGGGTTTGGGTATCGGATTTGCCAATCAGGTAAAATCATCACTCACCTAAAACCAAAACATCATTGGATTAAATCCTTAATTTTTTTTCTTCTTAATGATGTCTGTTCTTCTGACTTTTGCGCTGGATTAAGAGATTCGCATGTTTTGTTTATGCCTTGTTGCCCCATTTTTTTTGTTTTTTAATGTGCTGCAAGTCCGCAACTTGTTTATACACGACAAAAATGGTTCTTTCCGAGGAGCAAGACGGTGTTTCTTTTTTCTTAAATTATAAAATGTTTTCAATCTCTGCTATGTTTCTTGCTAGCTTGTCTCTTTCTCTGTGTCATGTAATTCTTCTTCCCCATTTTTTAGAATTTGTCACGCAAATGTCTCTTACCAAACATTTTTTAAAAAAAATTATAAAAAAAAGAAGAAATAATAATAATTTGGGTTTATTTTTATATATTTCTTGCCCTATTAATTGTCAACACCTTTGATGTAGCTCAGATCTGAACATGGCCTTTACTTTAATGAACACTGAACAGCTCAGAGATGTATTCCCAAAAGATGACAAATGACATTTTTAGAATTCTAATAATTTCTGAACCGGTCCTACCACTTTGTCAATTTGCACACTTACCCCTACATGAAATTAACACTCCACCTTCAGATCTTCTGAATCCAATAATATCCATTTGTTTTGTTTGGTGGGATATTCCTCACAAGATTTTTTTTAAAGAATAATAAAATAAATTAATCTTGAGGCCAACGGGCATAACTGTTGCTCTCCCAAATAGAGGAGGTCACGTGTTTGAATCCGGATAGCGTTTTTGACTCGTGCTTCAGTAAGTTTAAAGAATAGTACTAAAAAAAATTAATCTTTATTATGTTTTTTGAGTGACGCTATAAGACCCCAATAAGCTCAATCAAAAAATATTGATGAGTTGATGTGATAGGATCATGCTTCTTAATTATTTCATTGTAAATGACTTGGATGATTGTGAATTTATTATTTAAAATTGACTTTAAGTATGACTAAATTGCAATATAGTGTCTCATTTTCCTGTCTAGTTTTGGAAAAGGCCAAATGTGACAAAATGTCAAAAACATCCTCTCACGGTGCAAATTTTCAATTAACACTTCTTTGTATAAATCTTTAGCTTGTTTTGCTTTGACAAAATTTCAGATTTGAGTGATCTTTTGTGTATAATAACAAAATTAAATTTGTTCGTAAAAATTTATTTGAAAAGTTTAGCTCAAGAACTCTCTTTAACGTGTCATTTGTTTGTGCAGTCTGTGCCGTTATATCTCTCGGAAATGGCTCCATACAAGTACAGAGGAGCACTCAACATTGGATTTCAGCTTTCCATTACAATTGGTATTTTGGTAGCCAATGTGTTGAACTACTTCTTCTCCAAAATCCATTGGGGATGGCGTTTGAGCTTGGGAGGTGCCATGGTTCCCGCCCTGATCATCACAGTCGGTTCGCTTCTCCTTCCCGAGACGCCAAACTCCATGATTGAGCAAGGCAAGCACGACGATGCCAAGACGAAGCTGAAGAGAATCAGGGGAATTGAGAACGTCGATGAAGAGTTCAATGACTTGGTGGCTGCCAGTGAGGCCTCCAGGAAGGTTGAACACCCCTGGAGAAACCTGTTGCAGAAGAAGTATAGGCCGCACCTAACAATGGCTGTCATGATCCCATTTTTCCAGCAACTTACTGGGATTAATGTCATCATGTTCTACGCCCCTGTCTTGTTCACCACCATTGGGTTTAAGGATGATGCTGCTCTCATGTCTGCTGTCATTACTGGCGGCGTTAATGTTCTTGCCACCTTGGTTTCCATCTACTATGTTGATAAATTGGGAAGAAGGTTCTTGTTCCTTGAGGGTGGTATCCAAATGCTTATCTGCCAGGTACATTTTGTTATTCCATGCTGATTTCGTTTTCTGGTGCTTATCTCAATTAAAAGTCTAAGCTGATAATTGGACTGGTAAAACATGCAGATTGCTGTTGCCATTTGCATAGCATTGAAGTTTGGAATCAATGGAACTCCAGGGGATCTACCCAAATGGTATGCGGTGGTGGTGGTGATATTTATCTGCACATACGTTGCCGGATTTGCTTGGTCGTGGGGGCCTCTGGGGTGGCTGGTGCCCAGTGAGATTTTCCCACTGGAAATCCGATCGGCTGCCCAGAGTATCAATGTGTCAGTGAACATGATCTTCACATTCCTTATTGCTCAAGTGTTCTTGACAATGCTGTGCCATCTCAAGTTTGGGTTGTTCATCTTTTTCGCCTTCTGGGTGGTGGTGATGACCATCTTCATCTACTTCTTCTTGCCGGAGACAAAGAACATTCCGATCGAGGAGATGGTGATTGTGTGGAAGGAGCATTGGTTCTGGTCTAGGTTTATGACTGAAGTTGATTACCCAGGTGAGGGTAAGGGGAGTTTTAATGGCGGTGTTGAGATGGGAAAGGGTGGTGATGGCTACAAGAGAGTATGATATATAAGAAATTATATATGTATGTGGGTGTGATTAAGTGGAGCTTAATTATGTGTTTATGGGTTTACAAACCTGGTTCAATTAGTCTATATCCATTTATTAGATGGCTGAAATTATGTTAATGTTTAGATCAAATTTCAAATATTTTGTCTATCTTAGTTTCACCGGCCTTTTGCAAAGCAAATTGACATTCATATATGTATCTAAAACAATGTATTTTAATGCTTTATAATTAAACCAATATTAGTTGATTCAGACATGAATGTAGGTTTTAATAAGACTAAGAAACATTCATAATATTCTCCTCAAACACAAGGAGGTCTAGACAATCTTCGGGGCATAATTTAATGGTCAAAATATTAAGGATGTGTGTAATGATTCAACAATTACTTAGTTCAAATTCTCAACAAAGAGGGATCTCAATCTTGAATTAAAAAAAAAAAAAAAAAACAACAACAACAACAACCAGATTCTACCTTATTTTACTGGTTTTCGAATTTAAATCTAAGGATCAATACCTTGGGAGCAAATGATAACCTTTTCATATAATAGACAAGTCAGAACAGAGAACTTTGGTACTTCACATGTGGGAGTGTTTTGTTCTGTTAGGTTTTCGATTTTGGAGAATCCCAAAGAGAAACAATTCATACACGAAAAAGAAAACTTTTTTATTTTCTTTCTTTTCGGTTAATGTCTCCTACTTTGTTTTCAAACTCTTGCATATATCCAAACAAGAAGGAATAGAATCAAGCTTTTGTGCACTCCAAAGTTAGCAATACCTGGCCTACTCCTTACCTTTTTGGGAGAATATATTAAAATTAATTAATTACTAAATTACTAAATATATAAAAGTTCAATTTTGAATCAACTCTACTAAGTCTGGTATATAAAATAAAATAGAGGTTGTTTAAAATAAAATAGGGAATATATATCGGGTATATTATCTTACGTATTTTGTACACACGTTCGATAGGTCATAGTTGGGTGGCTCATGGAAAATATGTTATTCCTGAAAAGTCTAAGGTCTCCCTATATAAGGGGACCTAACCCTCTAGTTAAGGGGTCTCTCCTTCACTTCTACTCGACTACACTTAAGGGGCTTCTTGGACTTCTCTTACATTCTCTCTACCCTCTACTATACACTCTCGAACCATTCAATAACAAAAGTGAGTAAAACAGGCTTCTTCCAGCCAATTCCTGGGTGCTTCTTCATATATTCATACATACTCTATACAAGTATTCGATCAAAATACATATTTGTAGTAGAAGCAAGTATTTACTACATCAGTAATAAAATTGAGTCTAAGGTACATAAAAGTACGTAAGTTCCATTTTTATAAAGAAACATTTTATCTATCATTTTAAAGGTTTTTTTTTTTTTTTTTTTTTTTTGAACTAGGTACTTTTTTGTGATAACACGAGCACAATTCGAGTGCTAGGACTAAGCACTAGCTAATTAAAATGAATGATAATTTTGCCTACCGTCATTATCCAAATGTGCACTTTAGGTGAAATTCGTCTTATAACTCTAATTGACAAAGGACCACAACGAGATAAATTAGCATATGTTGTTCATATTTGACCGGCTCAAGCTAAGAAAGTCAATAAAAAACTCTCATGTAGAGTCTAACTTAGAACATTGTGGTTATCAAACTAGCTGTCCGACTAACTTGGCTAAAGTTGACCCAAACAAAGGCTCTTTCAATCATATTAATGGCAAAGGCCAAGTGAGCGAGCAACTTTACTATATCAATAATAGATTGTTTGTGCTTTGGGAATTAAGGCCCTCTATGACCAATCAAACTACAATGTTTGTCCGGATGCAAAATATACAATATAACTTGACACATTTTCTACTTTTTATATTGACACATCGAGTATCCATGTGAGATTTACTTGAAACATGTTTAATATTTTGAATATAATTATTTTATCATATTTCTAATTAATTATTCTAATATATGATAAATTTGGACTTCAATTGGGTTAGATCATTGTACCCTTACCCAATAGCTTCATAAAGTTATTAATGAGAAGCTTCTGGTGTGACATCTTTATTCCAAAGTGGAGAATCGAATTCACATGCTCTAAATTTGAGTAGTGGACCTTTTGGGTAACAAAAGTGCAATTAATCTCAAAATGTACCTTTTATCCCAAAAAAAAGTAAAACATCTTCTTGGTAATAAATTCGATAAAGACTTCAAAACCTTGTTATTGAAGCTATTATAGTTTCTAAATCCTAATTTAAATTTCCAACTAAAGTTTTGATTACCCTAAAATGTGAATCAGATAATATGAGTCTATTGTAATCAATGTTGCAAAAAACGTTAGGCGCCTAGTGCCTAGGGTGCCTAGGCGTCGATTTTTTATTTTATTTTTATTTTATTTTTTTTAATTAAAAAAAAATTAAAATTAAAAATTTAGTACTAAAACATAAGGTTTCCATAGTTATTTTTTAGAAAATATTTACAAAAGTGATAGTAAAATTGTTCAAAAGATTGTTTAAACCATCTAAATACATAAAAAACTAAAATTAAGAGCTAAAGAGCATTTTTTTTGAGAAATTAGTGGACCAACCGAGTCAAAAGTTATGCCTTTCGAAACTTTTCTGACATTTTCAAAAAAAAAAAAATATCGCCGAACCGGCCGATTAGGCGGTCTAGGCGGCCGCCAAGCCGGCCGGCCGCAGAGGAGGCCGCCGAGGCCATTCCTCGCGGCGGTCTCCTAGCGCCTAATCGGCGCCTAGGCGCGATTTTTGCAACACTGATTGTAATTTAATTAAAAGTTTCAAACTCGAGTTTTCTTTAATTATGATGTCATAATACATCTTGACTGGACAAAATCTATGGTGTAACAAATAAAACTTATATGTTTTGATTTTTTTTTTTTTTGGTTATTTAATTATTCATCACTGATATGTGGATAAGTGAGACCCCAAATGTTGAAGAGAACAATTGGATAAGTTTAAGGTTGGAAATGGGAAGAGGTATTTGGTTGATTCACGGATTTAAGTTGCATAAAACATGGAGACATGAGATGAATCACATGATTCCTTTGTTCATATATCCATTTTGGTGTAGCACTTTGGAATTTGGACAAGAATGCATGGTCGGAAATGGTTTTATGTTTTACTCCGAAGTATCGACTCCTTTTCTCACAAATAATTCTTTTTGAGGCACGTAGAAAATCTGCTGTCACTATTCGAATATATATATATATATATATATATATATATATATATATATATATATATATATGTGATAAATTTCACCTTATAAAGCTAGATTGTTCATATTTGAAGGCTATATTATTAATAGTTGATCAGTTCAAACGAAAAAGGCTAATAGACAACTATTACTAAGAGTTGAACATGTAATCTTTTGATTACCAAATTAATAACTTGACTAATTTTGTTGGAGTTGTCCCAAATAATTTTGATAACATTTTGAGTGCAAGCAAACGGTTAATTCAATAGCAAGATCAAAAAAATTTGGTGTGACTCGATGTAAATTTGAATTAGTTTTACAATGAGGGAATACCATACCTTGTATGCAAAAATCTTATATTAAATTTTACAAGACTTGTAGTATCTGATTATTTTCTATAAAGTTGGTGCCTCAATTTTACAAATATTTCAAGTAATTTTCTAACTAGAACAAAAATAAGTATATTTGTTTTCACAAATAGAAATGGAAAAAGGGCTGGATCAATGCTTAACAGTGATTTGGGTTTGAAATGGGCCTGAATAGACTGCATAAAACATGAGTTGGGCCCAAAATTCTCGAATTTAAATGGGCCGCTAGTTCAGAGCCCACCAGTTGATAAGCATGACTTTTCGAAGAGACTCATCATGCTCATCAACCTCTTTTCTCTTCCCATCGTCTCCCCGCCCATGATCACCATTTACGCAAAATCTACCACCTTCTTGCTCGCCTGAAAAACTAGGAGCCACCGGCGGCGTTCTCACGCCGGAGAAGTACCTGGAGAAATGATCGATCGTGTTCTCGACAACGACGACGCTAGTCGCCATGCACACTCTGCTAATGTAACTCATTTTTCACTGCAAAACAATCTTGTTTAACTTGCTTTGAGGTTTAAATATGGAAAGAAATATATCAACGCGGTTAGTGAGTAGGTGTTCTGTCTTAGTGGATGCATATATATAGTTGAGAGTGGAGGGAGGGGAATTACAAATTTTCAGGTGGCGGAATACGGCGATTTAGTTTGGAGGAGTGAAGAAACTGACGGCGGCGGAGACGTGGTTTGGTGAGTTTTCTGGTGGCGAAATACAATGCATATATGTCTTGTGTTATAGCCACCGAAGATGTAAAGCCTCCAAAATAGCAGACGTTACAATCAATACAAAATGCAAACCACAGTATTGTGATAAGGTCATCCATCATATCATTAGCCGGCCGCTTTGGGAATTTAATTTTTATAAAATTTTCTGTGCCTCCACTATATTATACCAAATATGGATATGGATTATATAATTGTAAAATGTAAATTTTCTGTCCCTCTATTACATCGTATCGGTTCAAACATACTTTCTCAAAGAGTCAACAACACTGAAGCTCGATCTAATGACCAGGGCCAGTCCTATCATTTTATAGATCCGGGGCAAGACAAAAAAAATGGGCCCCGGTTAATATATATTTAATGCCTAAAATTTAAATTAAATAAGAAAAATTATTAATATCAATAACTTTAAATAAGATTAACAAGTTTTTAACAATTTTACATACACAATAACAATCATTGAAAAAAATTCTAGATGCTTTCCTTAATGCAAAACAATAAATAATTGCCTTCATAGATAAATAATTATTATATTTTATAAAAATAATAAATAATTTAAAATCAAGTAAACTTATAAACAATAACATTGTTATCATAATAAATAATAAATTAATTAATTATTAAAAATTTATAAAACAATAATTACAAACATATGTGAAGCTAAAAAACTTTTTTGACTAGGAGCAAGAAATTAAAATATTTTAAAACGCAAAAAAAAAAAAAAATTGTAAAAAGATATGAAACATAATTATCTAGATAAAATAGTTTGAACATAAAGCATATTATAAATCACACATCTTCTATATTATTTACATGATTTTTATAAATACTTTTTCTTTTAAATACATAAATTTTAATCAGGACTATGTGGTCTAATGGTATCCGGGTTGGACTTCCATTTGGAAGATTATGAGTTTGAGCCTCAGTGGAAGCGTTGCGTTATTGGTTCTTTGTGTTTCAGTAGGTTGAGAAAGTATATGAACAGATACTACAATGTAGTAGGTTGAGAAAGTATATGAACAGATACTACAATGTAATAGAGCCAGTAACATGATAGAAGCGGTAAATTATCCTTTTTTTTTATTTTTATAATTCAATCTCAAAATATCTCATATAACCCCCTCCGTCTTGTTTTTACGTGTCTTGTTTGGTTAACATGAGTTGATTGAACTTTTTTTAATTCAATGTTTTATAATATGTTTAGTATAAGTATATAAAAATTTATAAATTTAGAAGCTACATTAAAAATTTATATATTTAATATAAAAAAATTTCATAATATGTTTAGTATAAATATATGAAAATTTATATATTTAAAAATTACATTAAAAATATTACTCCGTATTAAACACAAAAAATTAATAAAATAATTTTTTAAAAGATACATTAGAATATAAGCAAAGAAATTCTAAAATGTGAAGGGAAGGATTGGATCACAGGCCTTTGATTAAATGAGGTTAAAATTCAAATATCTTACCAACCAAACAAATTCACCTTACTATAAAGTATATGTATATAAATTACTTATTCTCAATACATATATATATATATATATATATATATATATATATATATATATATATATATATATATATATATATATATATAAGAGATAGAATGGAACCCTTCCCCAAGCGTGGGCCCTGGGCAAGGGCCCAGCCTGCCCTTACCCCAGGGCCGGCCCTGCTAATGATCCTCATATGGAAGAGGTCACTAAATGTCATATGAGCACAAGGTACTTGACCAGTTTCCAGATTTAGAAATACCAATTCTCAATCTCTATTCTTCTCTTTTCTCCTTCCCTCCACTCCATATTCTCTCTCTTTACTTCTTTAATTTGCTGACCAAACTCTCCTAGGAAACCCTTTTGATTAGAAAATAAGAAGATGGCTGGTGGTGGAATTGGCCCCAGTCCCGACAAGCTTACTCTATATGTCAATCTTACTTGTATTGTTGCAGCCATAAGAGGTCTCATTTTCGGTTATGATTTCGGGATTTTAGGTATGTAGTGTTACTCGAACCAAGCCACAATCTTGGATGTTTTGTTACAACTTTTTTAGTTATTAAGTTACAATAAAAATTCGCAATCACTGTATATCAGTGGTTGTGCACAACCACCTTACACAATTTTATTATTTTTTTTTAATATGAGATTTTGATGATTTGTGTTTGTTGTTAATGAATCAGGGGGTGTGACATCCATGGATACATTCTTGAAAAGGTTCTTTCCATCTGGTTTATAAGAGTATATAAATATACTTATATACATAAGAACACCAATAAACGTTGTATTGAGTTTGGAAATGTTTGAAATTCATAAAAAATAATTCTAATCAGAGTAGAGCAGCCACTTATACCGAGTCTACCCCTTCACTTTGCTGCAGACCTAGGTATCTGTCTCTTCTTTCCTTCTGCAAATTGAAGCAGAAACAACCATGAACTCAATATACCAATGAAAAATTTTGTAAGTAAATTACTGAAAATGGTAGCTATTTAATTTAGCAACGAATAACAATGAAATATGTAGATATTTAAGCTATATCTATTTAAGTCGTTGCTAAATCTGTTAGTAATTTACTATTTTCTTGTAGTGTGACCGGCCTGTAATAAATCAAAAATGAAAAATGTTTGAAGTTTGGGTAGTAGCTAAACTCACCCATTCATCTACCACAAGCCCTTCACCAATAAGACTATGGCCTACTTCTGTAGGCTTCTTGCATGCCTCAACAGCAGCATCAGCCTCATCCAACTGCCTTTTCAGTTTTTCCAGAGCCTTAGCAAGAAAATGGAATACAACATTTAGCCCTTGCATCCACAAATGAATATATATCACAAAAATCTTGCAAGCAAAATTCCCGGCCTCTCCCCGGGCTCCACACTTTGGCCTGACTGGATAACGGAGGAATAAATCGCAATGACTCAATATCCAATTGAGTAGAAGGACCAGTGTCTGGTGCCTACAATGGTCACCCGCTAGGGCTCACCAAAATCAACATATCTTGCATGAAGTAACAACATAAGCAAATAACATGTACTCACAGGACATGGACGTTCAGAGTCGAGAAAAATAACCCTTAGTATCTGCTCCTTGGCTACTTGGTCCTTCTGCTCATTGAACTGTGTAAAAAGAAGAATAGTTTAAGAGGTCATTTTCCTTAGTTTTGCCTTCCTGAACATTCAAGATAAAGACATGCATGATCCACATTAGATACATTATTAATTGTGAACAATTGATCATGTATTTACTAATTAAAAATGTTTAGGAAATTAGATAGATAATAATTAAGTAATAAATATGTTTAGGAAAGTAGATATATTTTGTTAACTAAAAATAAAAGAGTTTCCTAATAAAGATTTTGGAAAAATAAAAGAGTTTCCTAATCTAACTTTTCCATATTAATTAATATTTCCAAAAAAAAAAAAAACGGAGAAGAACACTGGGGTTATAAAACTACCCATTCCTCAACCAATACCATCTCCCTATTGTTTACTTCTTCTCTGCACTTTGCAATCTCTTCCATTCTCTCTCTCTGTCTGTTCTTTCTCAAGTTTCAGAAACCCCAGAAAACTCTGCTGCTAAATATAAAAGGAAAAAGATGGCTGGAGGAAGAATCGGCCCAGGTCCCGGTAATGGCAAGGAATACCCCGGCAACCTCACTCTATATGTGACTGTAACTTGTATTGTGGCAGCCATGGGAGGGCTTATTTTCGGTTATGACATTGGTATTTCGGGTACGTTTTGCTCCAATAAAGCTGTAATCTTTCGTTATGTTTATGGTGTTGAATGTTTTTTTTTTAATGTTGTTTCTTTGAAATAGGGGGTGTGACATCCATGGACACATTCTTGGAAAGGTTCTTTCCGAAGGTTTTTAGAAAGAAGAACGCAGATAAAGGTGTGAATCAGTACTGCAAGTTTGACAGTCAAACTTTGACTATGTTCACCTCGTCCCTCTACTTGGCGGCTCTGGTTTCTTCATTGGTTGCGTCTTGGGTGACCAGAAAACTAGGTCGGAGATTGTCCATGTTGTTCGGAGGTGTTCTCTTCTGCCCCGGAGCTCTCATCAACGGCTTTTCTCAGAATGTCGGGATGTTGATCATCGGCCGTATTTTGCTGGGTTTGGGTATCGGATTTGCCAATCAGGAAAAATCATCTCTCACCTAACTACTGTTTTAGTCCAATCATAAACCCAAACACTAAAACATCATTGGATTAAATCCTTAATGATGTCTGTTCTTCTGACTTCTGCACTGGATTAAGAGATTCGCATGTTTTGTTTATACACGACAAAAATGGTTCTTTCCGAGCAGCAAGACGGTCTTTTTTTAACATGTCATTTGTTTGTGCAGTCTGTGCCGTTATATCTCTCTGAAATGGCTCCATACAAGTACAGAGGAGCACTCAACATTGGATTTCAGCTTTCCATTACAATTGGTATTTTGGTAGCCAATGTGTTGAACTACTTCTTCTCCAAAATCCACTGGGGATGGCGTTTGAGCTTGGGAGGTGCCATGGTTCCCGCCCTGATCATCACAGTCGGTTCGCTTCTCCTTCCCGAGACGCCAAACTCCATGATTGAGCGTGGCAACCATGACGATGCCAAGACTAAGCTGAAGAGAATCAGGGGAATCCAGAACGTCGATGAAGAGTTCAATGACTTGGTGGCTGCCAGTGAGGCCTCCAGGAAGGTTGAACACCCCTGGGGAAACCTGTTGCAGAAGAAGTATAGGCCGCACCTAACAATGGCTGTCATGATCCCATTTTTCCAGCAACTTACTGGGATTAATGTCATCATGTTCTACGCCCCTGTCTTGTTCACCACCATTGGGTTTAAGGATGATGCTGCTCTCATGTCTGCTGTCATTACTGGCGGCGTTAATGTTCTTGCCACCTTGGTTTCCATCTACTATGTTGATAAATTGGGAAGAAGGTTCTTGTTCCTTGAGGGTGGTATCCAAATGCTTATCTGTCAGGTACATTTTGTTATTCCATGCTGATTTTATTCTCTGATGTTTCATCTCAATTAAAAGTTAAAAGTCTAAGCTGATAATTGGACTGGTAAAACATGCAGATTGCCGTTGCCATTTGCATAGCATTGAAGTTTGGAATCAATGGAACTCCAGGGGATCTACCCAAATGGTATGCGGTGGTGGTGGTGATATTCATCTGCACATACGTGGCCGGATTTGCCTGGTCGTGGGGGCCTTTGGGGTGGCTGGTGCCCAGTGAGATCTTCCCACTGGAAATCCGATCTGCTGCCCAGAGTATCAATGTGTCAGTGAACATGATCTTCACATTCCTTATTGCTCAAGTGTTCTTGACAATGCTGTGCCATCTCAAGTTTGGGCTGTTCATCTTCTTCGCCTTCTGGGTGGTGGTGATGACCATCTTCATCTACTTCTTCTTGCCGGAGACGAAGAACATTCCGATCGAGGAGATGGTGATTGTGTGGAAGGAGCATTGGTTCTGGTCTAGGTTTATGAGTGAAGTTGATTATCCAGGTGAGGGTAAGGGGAGTTTTAATGGCGATGTTGAGATGGGAAAGGGTTACTAGAGAGTATGGGTTTAATTATGTGTTTAGAAACCTTGTTCAATTAGTCTATATCCGTTTATTAGATGGCTGATATTATGTTAATGTTTAGATCAAATTTCAAATATTTTTTGTATGTTAGTTTCACCGGCCTTTTGCAAAGCAAATTTACATCCATATATGTATCTAAAACTATGTATTTTAATACTCCGTATTTTATAATTAAACCAATACTAGTTGATTCAGACATGAATGTGAGGTTTTAATAAGACTATGAAACATTCAAGATAAACACATGCATGGTCTGAAGTATGGAGCATAGGTGTTTATAAAAATTATCAGAGAAGAAGAAGATGGTACTCACCAGCTCTGGTACATAGTCCACATTTCCTTTAACTTTGAGGCTCATGATTTTGAATTTCAGATTGCTTTTCTGTTCTGTTGGCTTTTCATTGTTCTCTGGATGCTCTACAAATTTGAACACTAGAGTAATGATCCAAAATCAGAGCATGATATGATACTGAATAGGCAAAACAAAACAAAAATTATCTGCCAACATTCACAGATTTGTGCAACAAATAACTGAAAACAAAAATTATCTGGCAACATTCAAAGATTTGTGCAACATTCTGAACTATATATAATGAATTAATATTGTGACAGGGGAATTGAAGGAACTAAGAAATATATAAAAGGTACATACCAGTGGCTATAATGCTGTTGCCTGGAGCAAGAATGGCAGCAGGAGGACGCATGAAACAGGTTTTTGGTGAAGTTGTTTGGAACTAACAACAAACGCAAACAGCACCAATCAGATGAAATAATTAAACTGCAAATTAATTAAATACTCCGTAATAGATTGAAGGAAGAAAACAAAGTGTGAGAAATTTAGCTAGGTACCTTGAAAGCTACATGAGATTTGCTTGTATTTTTAATCTTAATAGCACTTCGAACCTGCTTGCCAGGCTCATCTACAACCCAGAAAACAAACCATTCATTCATTACAGAGCTATTTAAAAGGCGAATTGAAGATCAGAGTGTGCATGAATAAAGACGAGAGTGCGTACAAGGAAAATACAGCGTATTTGCCGGATCGAGCTTCAAACGACGGCGTGCGGGGAGAAAAGATCGAGCTACGGCGGAGACTTTGGGGGCGCTTAATCCATCAGACCGCGGACAAGTGTTGTTGTGCCAATTAGCAGCGGAAACAGAGGAGGAAGAAGAGGTTCTTCGAAACGGCATCAGCTTAAACAGACTCCAGACTTTGCCATCCTTGTCGTCGGCGATGGCCATGAGTGATTCCGATCGTGAAGCTAAACGGCGTAGGTTTTGTTTGGTAGCGGGTGACACAGAGAGAGAGTGAGCGGCGGTTGTTGAAGTTTGAAAAGAGTGAGGGGTTGGAATTTCGGGGCAAATGGAACGCCTGACTAGTGCTACTGAAGGGTGGGGGTGGGAAGGAAGAAAAAGAGGGGTACAACTGTTTAGTCCATGATTAGTGCCTTGAATTGGCGGGAGGAGATGGATGAGCTTTTGACAACTGAAAGATGAACCGGGATCAGAATCAGAGAGTTCATAACATTTTAAACATTTTATTTACAAGAAAACCCGCAACAATTAAGAGAATGTGTTTTTTTTGGTGAAATATAACTTGTAACTCTAATCAACAAATGATCATAAAAAGGTAAATTAGTTTAGATTGTTCATAACAAATGTAAAAATTCAAAATCTCATAAAGTATCAATAATATGAGATATAATTAGTGAGAGTAGTTTAACTCTCGAAATTTGGTTTGCATACTTGATCACAAGAGATAGAATATTCATATGCAACGTTCCAAAATATGATAGTACAAAACTTTTTTCATTTCAAAACTTAAATATATTAAATAATTTTAATACTTGTCTCAGCTCTCCAAAATACTTCGTTTAGTTATTCAAAAAGCAATGAAATCATTATACTCAAAGCAAAAGAGTTTTGGGATTTTATTGTAGGGTTATTGGTTAGAGTGGGGTCACAACCTTACTATAGAGTTGTGGGCTATTGATTATGGATTCAATTAAGTTATATTAGGACAGAAAATGGCCCTAAAGGAGTCACAATTTCATCTTATTGAAGCTATACAAGTCTTTGTCCGAAGCCAATGAGTATATTGAGTCAAACATATTTATAAGAAAACTAACACATATGCAACTTTTATTTGGGCCTAAACAATTAATCCACGGGCTACATCAATATTAGGGGATAAATTAACATTTTGGGAGACAACTAGCATACACAAGGATCGTTATGCTGTGCATCCGTATACACCATGTATAATGCATATGGATGCAAAAACGACGTCGTTTTATTAAAAACGTGCATCCCACTTAAAAAAAAAAATTCAGTTTCGATTCCCCTCAACAGCATTATGTTGTTTATAGATTCTGGAATTTTAGTTCATAGATTCTGAAATTTTAGACGTGAATTGAAACTGATTTTTTTCATTCATGCTGGATATTTAGTTCATTCATTATAGATATTTATTTCGTTCATTATGGATTTTTAGTTCATTCACTCTGGAATTTTAGTTCATTCACTCTGAAATTTTAGTTCATAGATTCTGGAATTTTAGTTCATCGATTCTGGAATTTTAGTTCAAATTATGCACAATATAATGTTGTTGCTAAGAATCGAAACAGATTTTTTTTTAAGTGAGACACGCGTTTTTAATAAAATAACGTCGTTTTTGCATCCGCCATACAGATGCACGGCATAATTTGCCCATACCCAATTTGATACGTAGCACTTTTAGATGAATGTGCGACCCAATTACAAAAGCATGTAAATTCGATCTGCAGACATGTAAATTTTACAGGTACTATGATCCATGTAACAGCGTGAACCATGAAGTGAGTATTATTCTAATTACACTTTAATTTCTGGATTTTAGTTTCATTTTTCACGCATACTAGTTTCCTTATAAAAATACTAAAATATCATTTTAATTATACTACAATTTTATTTCACAATATACTTTATTAAATTATCTATGTTTTTTAATTTTTAGTTTCCTTTTCCACACACATTAGTTTCATTATAGCAATACTAAAATATTATTTTAATTCTTTTTATTTTTTTTGAAGACAAAAGCAAGATATCATTAATTAAGATCCAAGCTCAAAACATGAGCAATGGAAGGAAAGGGGACTAGAGAACAGTCCATACAGTCAGGCATCAACAAGGCGTCCCTAGCTAAACAATGGGCAACCCTGTTCGCAGACCGTTTAGCAAAAATAAAACTTAAGTTAACAAAACTAGAAGCTTATTTTAATTCTAATTTCACCATTGTCTACACTCTACACAGTGTTGTGTGGATCACAGTCCTCTGTATAACAATTGCATTAGACATTTATACGTGTCATTATATTGTTTTTCAGATAAACTATTTCCACCTATTATTATTGTTCGTTATATTCCTCTCTGCCTCAACAATGTTGTTACAGTCAATATCTGTACTGTCTGCTACAGCTGTTGGACAATGCTAAAAAGTACCAATCTGCGCCACTCAGATACTAGGCTTGTGACAAAATCTTTCCAGTTGTATCATTAATCTCTCCTCCCACATTTCTTTATGTTTTCATGCCTTCAAACATGTGGTTCTGTTTCTTGATCAACTCAAATCCAGCCATCTCTAATGTGGCATCCTACCATTGGTCCCAACATATATAAATTAAATTTTAATTTTAAACTATATATTATATTTTGTTTGATTAAATTAGGTACCATTCCAGAGACTTCAGCTTTCCAGCCACTCATCTTCGTCCAACATACTAACTTGTTCCAATAGCGTGCATCAGATGGCTTAAATTTGGAAGGATCTGGACCTTCGACTGTGCCAGGTGTCCTTATAAAATCCATCAAAATCGATGCAATATATATAATTATCTTTATAAAATTTTAAAGTAAACGCGAAGGGATTGAGTCTCCGCCATTGCACACTCAACATGCATTGCATGGCCATCATAAACAATAGTATATTTAATTTGCATGGTTCTATTTAAACTAAGGATATTAATATCAATTCTAAAATATTTTATACTCCTTAAAATAGACTATTTATCTAATTATTATAAAGAGAGAGTTGTAATTTTAGTCCTTTAAATTGTTGTATGTTGAATTGTAAATGTTATCATTTGTTTCTCATTTTGCTTTTAAATACAATCATCGGATTGTCTAAAAGTTGTAAATTTGATTACCCATCTATTATTACCAAGGTTAGAGGTTAGGGTTTCTAAAGGAAATTTGTGACATTTAACATTTTCAATCTTCTTCTATTTCGTGCAACACCTTAGAAAATTTACACCCTTCAAAAACTCTAGATTCTAACCATGGTAACATGGTAGCAGGGACCAAATTTACAACTTTTTGGACAATCGAGAGACTATATTTTAGAAACGGAAAAGATAAATACAACTTAACATTTACAATTCGACAATAACGGAGAGACCAAGATTGGTATTCTCACATTATAAATTAATCAGATGAAATTATTTTAATATATAATTCAAATTTATCTTTGTTTATCCTTAATTAAAATAATGCTGTCATCATATCCTTTTATGTACATGCATTAAAAATTAATGCATGGGATTACTTAAAATAGTACGTAACACCCCTTACCATCCACAGATCGTTACTAACTCATTTCTAAATATAGGATTATAGGTCCAGGTTAATTGCATTGTCTACACCATACGAGTTTCGTCAACGGTGCCATGACCAATCAAAAGAGGACAAATTAAATCAATAGTATTTCAAAGGTTGTTAGATTAATTGGACAGAAAAAATAACAATAGAATTTGTATAGCTAATTAACATTATAATCCACCAAATAACGCTGTGCATACGTTTGACGGTCAGTTTCACAACATATATATTTTTGGTAACTGTGCGCAAGCAAGCCCTACATTTGGGACAACTAATCATCTCTGCTACAGAGATTGAATTCTTTAAATATTCCAAGTAAAAAACCTTATCCCTAATCCGGTCATAAGATATACACAAAGAGTCCAACCCAAACCTTCAATTTTGAATCTCATGAACTTGTCACAAGCTACACACTTCCGTGTACAAGGAAGCCAATCAAACTCTCAATCCTAGACCCCATGAACCTGTCAGAGGATGTATACTTTTATGTACAATGAGCTCATCTCAAACCCTCAATATTCATGACAACCCCAATCATACCGCTCTAATCAAATCTTAACTGAGACTTCCCATTCACTATATCAATGTCTTAGGATCGAATGCCTCATGTTTAGATGTTTATTGGAAAATCAACAGCCTAGTTATGGAAACGGCCTCAAAATCCCACAAATAGTATATGTGCTTAATTGAGAAAGTGTTAACAAGAATCAATTAAACTCGTAACCTTTTAATATGAAAATTATACTCCACTCTGACAATCCCTTTTAGGGCATAAATTCCTAATTATTTCTTGTCTTTATGCCAGATTGGGTTAGAAGGAGATACAAGAAAAGATGAACAAACAATTTCCACCTCATTTGGGTTGGGGGAGGGGGGGGGGGGGGGTTAAATATCATGACCAAAAAAAAGAAAAAAGAAAAATAAAAGAAGAACAGCTTGCATGGGAAAGGAACAAACAAATTATTAGTTGATCAATAAAATAATGTTTGACCAAAATCATAATTTATGAGAGTGTAGATGGTGAGTCATCCATTTATAAAGGTAGATTGAGGGTGGCAACCGGTACTTTTGCACATGATTCTATTATTAGCCTCTTTAAGTAATACTTCACATGATTTTACCTTTACACGCATATATATGCCTCAGCTCCAAACGCGTCGGAACTCAAGACCATTATATTTCTATTTTATAGTCTCCATTATTAAAATAATGCGTACGTCCCAATAACCGATAGCCACATCATCTCCGGGCTCCGGCGGTCAGTTGCCGGATTATTATCAGTAATGTATTCAAGTGTAGTGATATTTCAGTACAATTTTATTGTATTATAATTATCGTGCCAAAAAAAAAAATGAACAACGTAAAAAGCACTCTATCATGTTAGAAATTAAAATATTATTAAAATTATTAAAATATTATAATGTTAAAACAACAATTATATTAGTGAGGTATAAGCTAGCTAGACATCAAAGAAACAGTATGACATAAATCTCTTTCAATTTAATTAGAGGTCTTAAGTTTGAACTTTTGGTGCTAGATAGAGTACTTTAACCGAAATGAGTACGATTTGCAGGATTTTCAACTCCTACTCACACAAACCTATACAGTATTTGAAATTCTTAGCAAACTCATCATGGTGCTTTAATTTGCTACTAAAATCGTTTTAAATTTTGGATTAGGTATGCGAAGCCCAATATAATTAAATGCCATATACCTAATTATAGAGCCATAATATTTGAATATAATGATTCTTTCATGAAAAGTTGCAAATAATGACAAAAAACGTAAAGGAAAATATTGTAATGCATTGTGTGTCAAACTTTCGAGGGGAAAAAAATTGTAATAGCCACTTAAAGACATTTTTACTTTCAAACATGAAACAATAGTCTAAGGAGTTGATATAGAATATAAAATAAAATAATAATACAGCATTAATGTCGTACAACGATTTAACTGTGGAACTGATTGTTTGTTTCATATATGGGATCTAGCTAAGACCATATAATATATATATATATATATATATATATATATATATATATATATATATATATATATATATATATATATATATATATATATATATATATATATATACACACACACACACACACAGCGATAGTTAATTATTGAAATTCCATTTGATCGAACTCATCGTGCGACGACCTTTGGATACTTAAGTCCCATTGGAGTGTATAAAGTCAACAACCTTGAATTCCAATACCACATTTGCTCCATTTCAAAATTATGATTTAATTATCAATTTTGACATTTGCATACATAAATTCGTCCAAAATAATTAATCAACTTACAATTAATTACCTGATAGGATCGTAGTGTTTGGATTAGCACTAACAGATCCAATAATAATCTAATCCCTGCTTTGCCATGGGGGAATAAAATTATGGGATTGCATGTAGTCTAAGTTATTGTTGTCAACTCTTATGTTTGGTATAAATATTAGGTTATTGAAATTAGGGTATGATTATGAAGAAATTTACTCTTTTTAATAATCTTTTTGTACGGAGTATATATATAATATAGTTGAATTTGTAAACTCTCCGATCCCCTTGATATGGTGTTTAATTTAATGAATTGTATACTAGCTAGCAACCACTAATAATTGATGTTAGGGGTAATTTCCGGTTTATTAATCTGTCTTCCATTTAGTTTTTAGTCTGTGTGATCGTGTGGAAAACGGGCTTCAATCAAAGAAATTAATATAAAGGCAGTGTTATTTGGGATAAGATGACTATGACATAATTAAAATTAAGTTCCAATGACTTTTTTAAAATTATGTTCCAATGACTAAATAGATTGTATTGCTTAATGTCAACTTTTTATTAAATTTTTAAGTGATACTCAAACTAGACCAGGTTCTTACATGAGCTCGGCTGCTGCTACGTCCTAATTTTTGAAAATGAGAAGATGAGTTTAGATGTCTTATCATATACAAGTAAGAAGGTGTCTTTTTTGTTTTCTTATTCATGCAAAACGAATAAAACCTCGTGCTTTTTTGCTGTTATTCTTTGTTGCGTTGTTTTTCTAGGTTTTGACTAAGATTTTGTCTGTTTGTTTTTTGTGAAAATTGATCACGCATGAGGTAATATTTGTGGTCAAAGACGAGGGCGGGGCAAGCAAAATGCATGGTTGGACAGAGCCGCGGCTAGCTAGCTTGCATGAATGAGATTTAAGCCATGCACGAGAAGGCCGGAATCGCCGTGTAGAAGCTGTAACGTAACTAAAGACAAGACGGAAAGGAAAAGGGGGAGAGAGAGAGAGAGAGAGAGAGATTGATATAATATAGGCATACGTGGGCTTTATAAGATTGTTGCCAGCTCATACGAATCCAGAAATAAAGCGAGCGAGGCGAGAGAAGACACCCCGCCGGAAAGTGACGTATCTGATGTGATATGATATTTGACAATAATTCGACTCTAAACTTAATCAAAACCCCCATGTAATTATTAATTAAGTGTAGGGTTTGGGGTGGTGGGGTAGTGTGGGACAAGGGGATATGGTTGAATTCACATTTTCTCCAGAGAAAGGGGACACGTTGCAGTAGAGATATACAGCGGACGGCACCGAATCCGTTTGACTTCCATTTCTTCACTCCCTTCTCTTCTTCCTCTATATATACCACTCCTGCAAGTCCTTTCCATTCCGGACCTACTTGGATCTTCTCTCTCTCTCCCTCTTTCTGGGTTAAGTTAAAAAGAAACCATAAACAAATAACCATTATATTCATCCTAGATATAAGCATGGGGAGAGCACCCTGTTGTGATAAAGATGGACTGAAGAAAGGGCCATGGACGCCGGAAGAAGACCAAAAGCTCGTTGATTATATTCAGAAACATGGATGTGGAAACTGGAGAACACTCCCCAAGAATGCCGGTATATATATATGTTTCTTGTTTAATTTTTTCTTTTTAAGGTTTTCTAGTTGTTCATGCATGGTGAGTTGACGGGAAATTTTTAACAGGGCTGCAGAGGTGTGGAAAGAGCTGCCGTCTCCGGTGGACGAATTATCTGAGGCCGGATATTAAAAGAGGAAGGTTTTCTTTTGAGGAAGAAGAGACAATCATTCAGCTGCATAGTATATTAGGAAACAAGTGAGTTAATAATGTTTTTTGGATTTTTTGCAATAATTTAGTAATATAATGTTTCTATTTCTAGTTTTCTACTTATTCCGTACCATATGGTTTTGTCTTTTCTCCTGTTTCTTAATTAGTAGTTGTCACTTATCACTGTTTCCATTGTTGACTTATAGGTGGTCTGCAATTGCTGCTCGCTTGCCGGGAAGAACTGACAACGAAATCAAGAACTACTGGAATACTCACATTAGGAAAAGGCTGCTAAGAATGGGGATAGACCCTGTCACCCATAGCCCCAGACTTGATCTTCTTGACCTTTCCTCAATCCTTAATACGCCATCACCACTGTATAACTATCCCTGTCAGCAAATCAACCTTTCAAGATTGTTGGGCCTACAACAGCCCTTGCTAAACCCTCATGTTCTAAGGTTGGCCAGTTCTTTGTTTTCGCCGCCGGTGCAGCAGCAGCGCCACGGCCTGAACCCAGAATTTGGCTTGCAGAATAATAATGCCGGCGTTGTTCAAGAAAACCAAATGTGCAATTTGGAAAACCCGGGATTTCTGGCCGCCCAAGATGTTCCGTTTTCTTGCCCACAATCTGTCACTCAAGAACAAACTGAATTACCCGTTCAGACAGATGTTACCTTTTCTCAAATGACGCAACAGCCTGATAATGTGGACCAATTCCCACCCCACTTTGCCAGCTTCCCAATAGGAAATTGCCAAGAAAACGAATGGCAAAGTAATGGGATCCCTTCAAGTTTGACGGAGGACTATTTGCCATTAGAAAACTACGGCTACTACCAACCAGCCGCCGCCGATCCTCAATCCGTCATGGATCCTCCGCCGTCCGACGCTTCCACGTTCTGCCGGAGCTTCCAATCCGTTTTGTCAACGCCGTCGTCAAGCCCCGCTCCACTGAACTCCAACTCCACGTACATCAACAGTTGCAGTACTACGACGATGGACGACGAGATAGACATTAGCTACTCCAGCAACTTAATCGACTTTGATTACTCAAGTATTTTGGAAGTTAATGAATTCATGTAATTGTTCCAAAATGGTTGATTCCAAGGAATAGATCAGATATGATGTTTAATTATATTATTAATCCACTCGAAGTTTCTTGAAATGACTTACTTAACTTAATCAATCAAGGCTTAATTATTTAGCTAAAGATGGAATAATTGTTTAATCCATATATATCAACCAAGAAATGGATAGGCAATCCGTTCAAACCAAGATAAAAATAAAATAAGATTTTGCCCGACGTGTAGGCATCAATGCTGCTAGCTTGTCTCCATTAATGTATCAAAGACTTTAATTTCTCGATCTATTCACCATCAATAATATATAATATATGTACACACACACAATTTTCTTTAGAATAATAATAAAAAATTCAATGCTTCTTCTGCACACAGCAGCACCAAGAGTCTACCATGAAATAGTAGATTATGATATTTTAAAAAATTATATTGCCTGAAAGACAGCTCATGAAAGCACAAGTCATCTTTATAAGACTACCCAAAATTATATGTTTCAACTGTCTCCCAGTTTTACCTTTTCTAGAAACTTAGCTACCTTGGGAGTGTTTCTTTGCATATAGCATTTGAGGTTAACTTAAGTAACCACACAGTTAAAAGTTTACTCCTTGTAAAAAGGGTCTATCAATTTGAGTTAAAAGTTCACTTCTAGTAGTAGTAACCACAAGTTAGGCTGGTTTTTTTGCATTGTGGTTATTTGCTAACCAGTGTTACAAAGTGGATTTAATCCATCCACAGACTCAAGTAATTAATAACAGTAAATTTTTCTGGTCATCTAAATATTTGACTAAGACTGTGCTAGTAAAGTTTGACTTTTGATCGGTAAAAGTTGATCTAAAACATATATTCAAACAAGAGTTAATATTTTAACTTATATAGTTACATTAGCAATCCGTTTAGCTAGTGATATAACATATATGTTGGGTTAGATTTAAAAGGACAGACGAACAAACAGCGGTGGACACTGGTTTCCTAGAACCTAATATTAATTTTTTTGTCAAATCATGAAGTGTTCTGAGCATGTCCGGTCCTAACTATAGGAGGCACCTTTAAACCCGTACTATATTCAGACTAATCACTGTTCATATCTGACCGGCCCAATTAAGGGGCAAAGTGTTGACCAGATTGATTTTTTCATACGAGAGGGTTCTAACTCCCGACTTCTCTTAAAGGACAAGAGTGCACGGCCACTCACATCAACCAAGTTGGTTTCCCAGAACCCAATAGTGAGACAGCGGCGGTAGAACGACGGCGAAGCGACGCGTGTTCCCGCCACTTTTTGGTACTCTCACGTACTAAAAAAAGAAAAGTTATCATCATTCATCATCAGCACTGTGTAATTATTGCATGGGTTGGGGCAATCGAAATTTGGAGAGGCTAAAGTTAGGAGGTTTGACTAAGAGGGTATGCACGTGTCAAAGTGCCATACTGCCAGCAGGTGGTACTTAGCGGGGACCACTTTTCGGGGTGGAAAAGGGCTGCTCATAATTGATAGCTTAATAACTTTATTGAAAATTTTCACGAACTGGATGGGTGTCGTGCTATATTTCCGGCCGTGTTAAGTATGGCCATGCAATCAACGAAAACAAATCGGGTCGACGTAAGCGCCCGGGACACGTGTACTCAAAATACAATTAAAATGGTCCCACCAAGGGGATACGTGGCCGTTTCGTTGACCCGGCCATAAATACGAAACATCTTATCCACTTGTCCGACGCTCCTATGCAAAAAATCGGCGATCGTTACTCCTAGTGGTACATATAATTATATAAAGGAAAAATGGTATTTTTTCTCCTTAAATTATATACTTATAGCATTTTTCTCTGAATTATTTATGTAAGCATATTAGCCTCTCAATTATTTTAAAAGTGGTGATTTTTCCCTCAAATATATTAAATTGATATTTCTACCCTTAATGCAAACATTTTATTATTTTACTTCTCCAACAAATTATTGCGTATATGTAGCGATTACCACGGTTTGGTTCGAACTGAACTAGACACTATAGCAATCGAATTAAAAGTTTTCAGTTATGATTCAGATCTAGAACCCAATATTTGGATTTCAATTTATTAAATTTAAGAATAAAAGAAAACTGGATCATGAACCGTGAACCGACGGTTCCGGATCCAGTTCTCAATTTTGAACCGTCTTTATTTTAAAATTTTATTTTTTTATTTTAAAATAGTCTAAATTCAACAATAAATGTATTTTATTTTTTCAGTTTGAAACATGAACCGGCCATTCCGGTTCACGATTTTAATAAACTCTAAATATCGCGTTTTGATTATAAATTGTAATTGAAATATTTTGGTTTGGTTGCTATAGTATTTGTTTGGTTTGAACCAAATTATAGTAATAATTTGTTGGAGAATAAAAATAAATGAAATATTTATTTTAAATATTTATTTTAAGGGTAAATATGTCCATTTAACAGTTCAGGGGGAAAAAGAGTCACTTAAATAATTCAGGGGGGAAAAGTGCTATAAGTATATAACTTAAGGGGAAAAAAATGTCATTTTCCCTTATATAAATATAATATAATATATAATATATAATATATAATATATATGTATTTTGAGGGTTCGGGGTCAAGGTTGGGTATGGTTACAACCCTGACGGTCCTAGCGGGGATGGAGAAACGCTCCCAATTCCTGTTCCCGTTTCTGGAAAAAATTCCGTCCCTAAATGAATCGGGTTGAATTTCCATCTCTAGTTGCTCCCTTTTATATATTAATTTATGTGAAATCTAATAATAGTTGCCATCTTCAACAGAAGTTCATGATTAATCATTGTGTTAATCATCAAACGGGACTGTTAGTTTAAGCCACATGTTATATATCCCCGCCACGACAATATCTAGAGGTAACATGTTTTCACATTACAATCGCAATCACAACATCTTACTTGAAACCTAGCTAGCTATACTAGTTGATTGTGAAATTGGCTTATATTGCGGCCAAATAGCTTACATTTAGTAGTAGTATAGATCGACAAAGTTTTTTTTTTTTTTTTTTTTTTTTTTTTTCTAACACGACTCTAGGAAAACATTAAAATTAGGGTCTTATATTGTGTGTGGGGAAAAGTGTGTTTTTGGTGTTTTCTGCCGCTGTTCATGGCGCAAGTTGAATGCAAATTTGAGCAGTATAGATCGACAAAGCATAGTCCGAAACTGATAATAACTGAAGCCACGAACATGCGCGTGTACAATGTAGTATGTAATTGCTTCAAGGCAAAGTCGCAATCATTTTAGGAGTAAAACAGAAAACTCGGAGTTTTTAATTCTGTGCTAGTAAACCTGTTTTATATTTTCTGTTCTTCAATTTTTAAATTTTTCAAAAATCTGGAAAAAATTATGAATTAATACCCAAAATCGTCATCGACTATAGTGGTTTTTCTCAATTTCGTCCTAAACGACTTTGGTGACCTAATATCGTCCCAGACTTTTGTGTTTTTGCTCAATTTAGTCCCTCATTTGTTATTCTGTCCATTTGGTGTTAAATAAATAGACAATTCAGTAATTTTAATATTGACATCTCTTTACTCATAGACATGTGAACTGCGAAATCCCTTTTTTTTTACGAATTACTTCCAGAATTACTCCTAAAACTGTGAATATAAAATTTGATTTGCAGGTCCGGGAGTAATTCTGGGTGTAATTTCGTACAAGAAAGAGGAATTTCGCACTTCACAAGTTGAAAGTAAAGAGAGATCAATATTGACATTACTGAATTGTCCATTTATTTAACACTAATTTGACAGAATAACAAATTGAGGACTAAATTGAGCGAAACACAAAAGTCTAGGACGATATTAGGTCACCAAAATCGTTTAGGACGAAATTGAGAAAAACCACTATAGTCGAGGACGATTTTGGGTATTAACTCAAAAAATTATTTTGTAGTTAGTAAACGGACCCTTAATGTTCCTATTGGGTTTGAATTCATAACTTCTCAATTGGAAGAGTTACAAAGGTACCATTGAGCTACAAGGGCAAAATCACAATTATAAACTTTTGTGAGCTGGGTTTCATACAACTCAACCATTTAATGTTTCACTACGTGTATTTATGACACATTAAAAATGGTCTATAACCTAAATGATTGGAGTATGTGAACTCAATTATTGCTTTAATTATGAATAGCCACTCTAGGTGACACCTTTCGTTTCCATAGAATCCTAAAATTATACACACCAAATTATTTCGAAATGTATGGCTGATATATTATACAAATTATCTTCATTATTAATTAAATTTTAATAAGTTACGTAATTAAAAACAACCTTTTATGTTTTTTGGACAATTACAATTGAGTTGGTCGAACAATTAACTTTACAACCACAAAGTTTTAAGTTCAAATCTTCATGATCTTATTGATTTGAACCCGTCAACTATGAGTAATCTATGCTAATATATCTCTTGGTAACCCTTTGTCAACTAAAATTACAAAAAGGGGTTCACTCATATAATTCGAATAATAATCGTCAAAATTTTTTTTTAGAACAAAAGCATTTTTATAAAATGAATAGCTAATATACTTGTCCATTTTTAATATATTGCATACTCGTTTTTTAATATTCATTTTGAATCTCCTACCCCACAGTATAATTTGCCAGCAACTTGTATCAATTTTTTTTTTTTTAAATGTGCACAATAATCATAGTCAACTTTATACGAAAGAGATTTGAAAACACACACAAATATAACACGGCAATTAATCGCCAACGTAGTACCTCTTCCTTGGTTTCTCTCCGGCGTCGTAAAGTCAAACCTGATCCCTTGTCGGGTAAGAGCCCACCGTGCATGTAAGCCAAACGTCACTTATACATCAACAGCACTCATACCAACCCGCCTAGGGTCCGATCGCTCATATTAGAAGTCAATAATCTAAATAACTTGATTAAAATTGTCTTCTTCTTCTTCTTCTTCTTTTTTTTTTTTTTTTTTTTTTTTTTTCAGTTTTTGTTTAAATATATATGGAGAGGTGGTAGTAATCAAAATGTCGCGTTATACAATCATATCAATACAAATTTTGATTCTTTATATCGGTGAGCAA